TGCATAAGCTTTATACGCACTGGGATGTAATTAAAAAGCCCTCGTTTCGTTTGCATTTTGTACAAATGCAGAACCATTTTTCCGAGTATATGCATTGTTTTACCTCCGCCCTTTTGGGACTAAAGGGTTAAAATGGATCCCTTTGCAAAGGGCTTTGGTGGAAAATTATTACGGTCCTACGATTGAGGTGGTCGTATTTGCCGAAAAAAATAAATTGTTGGCTCCGCGTTTATAAACATCGTCATGTTATATTTAATCTTTAATCAATTATAAAAGTCGACTAAAACCCGGTTTAATTTTGCAAATCAGCACGTATCGAGTGTCGGAAGGCCCGTGGAATTATTGACGTCGAGTTCGTCTTGTATTCTCCTTTGGAATTGACTATGAAGTTGTCTAACTCAAAATCCGTTACGCCTCTTGATCCATCAATGCAACGGAATTATTTACGACGTGCATATGCTCCAACATCTAAAGTTTGACGATTTCAAACTTTATCAAAGTTGGAAAGAGATTGTGCAAACAACTGTCAATTCCAGTCGAAATATAGTTAAAATTCAATCAATTAATTATTCTTTCTAAGGTCTTGGTTGAGATAAAGAGTCAGTACCACGAGCTGGATTCGAACCCACGACCTTCAGCTCAATACGATTACACGACATTTAAAAATGGCGAAAAGAGGGAAAATTCAAACGGCTGTAGGTTGAGGTGGTGAGTTGGTGTCCGAGAGGATCCAAGTCGATAGCTCAAGTGGTTAGAGCAGCGGCGTATTGAACCGAAGGTCGTAGGTTCGAATCCCGCTCGTATCACTGACTTTTTTAACTCAACTAAAAACCTTAATTAATTGAATCATATTAATTGGTCAAGCGGACCACGAAAACTAGATAATTTTATAAGTTAAAATGAAGTATACCTTCACTAAAGCTCTCCCTGGCCATTTCATTTGTCGTCGAGAATCAAATAGATTACACGACATTTCAAAAATGGCGAAAAGGAGTGAAAATTCAAAAGGTGGGGTTAAGACGGAAAGTTAGTGTCGGAGTGGATCGAAGTCACGATAGCTCAAATGGTTGAGTAGCGGCGTATTTAGCCGAAGGTCGTGGGTTCGAATCCCGCTCGTGACACTGACTTTTTTATATCAACCAAGACGTTAGAAAGAATAATTAATTGATTGAAATATGTAACCTGGTCAATTGATTATGAAAACGTAAATGCATATCATTAAAATTTTGATTTTTTTAAAAATAAAAAAAGAGAAATTTCTTTTTATTTATTTATTTGTTTCATAGCTCGCTCACTCTTATTGTTTGTTTCATTTTTTTCACCAATATTGAAATAAATATAATTCATAGATAAATATGATTATCATTAAATTAACATTACTTATTAACGTTTTTAAGCTAAAATTTACAAAAAAATATATACATAAATAATAATATTATAAACTCAAAAAGGTATTTGACATTTTGCTTTTTTAAATAGCGTTAATAATGTTTTTTTCTGATACCCAGTCCCTGGAAAATTGGACGTGTGAGAAAAAAATTCTGCTATTTAACCTGACGCTTGAAACGACATTGCTTGTGACAATGTCATTTAAAACATTTAAAATTCCTACTATCACACTTTTGTATGAGTGGCATACGGCTAGCTTTAGTCACATTCACTTAGGTGTGCGACATTCTTGGCATGGGCGTTTTCCTGCGTAAAACGTCCTGCCAGACCCCACCCAATGGAAACCCGGTTGAAACGGCGATCCTCGCGATTAGGTCAGCCGACCACTGCCTTCAAACTGGGAATAACCGGGGCAGATATCGCCTTCATCTATCTTTAATTGAATACCTCGTGGGGCAAGGTATATTTAGTTGTGGAATCTGGTCCGATTCATACCGCCACACCAGATCAGAGATTGCCCAATGGCTTCCTTCCAATTAAGATAGTTCAATTAAAAAAATATCCCTCGCCTTTACCTCGCTCTAATTGAAAAAAAATTAGGTTATCAAAAGATGTCACAATTTGTTTTTTAATCACTCTCATTTTTCTGTATTATTACGAATTTTGAAATGCAAAAAAAAATACAAAGTAATCTAGGTAAATTAACTTAAATTAACTAGTACTGATTTGACGCTAAAAAATCCAATATTAAGATAATAATAATAATAAAGTAAAATTACGGCATGGAGGGTCCGCCTGCCGGAGGTCGATTTTCATTTGACTTAAATTTTTGGTCGACACAGAGAAAAATGTACGAAAGAAAAAATTAAAAAAATTGATCCATAAATAAATATTACAATTGATAATTTAATTTTTAATAATTACATTAATTACTAGCATACATTATAAACAATAATTTTTGTTTTTCGTTTAATTTACAATAATATAGATATATAAATTATTTGGGCCAGCAATTTAGAATGACAAAGCATTAAAATATTCAAAAATTAAATTCTAATATAAACTCTTGGCGATAGTGCCAGGCGTGGCGTGCATATTTGATTAAATTTTGGTAATCATTAAGCAGTAAGTCAATAACCTGTGTCATATTCAATTTAGCAAAATGTAGATGCAGAAGCCGAATTTCCGATTGGATAGTGCATTTTGCAATAAAATGCACTATGACTTCTTTAACCTGGTCATTGCATAATGAACAAATTACATGTTCTCTAACCCGAAAAGCTGCACCATTGAGATAAAGGAGGTCCTTTCTGATTTTGAATAACTAATATTAAGATTAACTAATACTAGAATAATAATATATAATGTTTATTCCATTATATTTAGTGGTCCATTGACAATTACTTCTTTCAATTAATTAATCTTTTTAAGTAAGGTTTGGTTGAAAAAAGCTAGTGTCACGAGCGGGATTCGAACCCATGACCATCGGCTAAATACACATCTGCTCTACCACTTGAGCTATAGTTATTTCGATCCTCTCGGACACCAACTCTCCACCCAACCTACAACCTTTCGAATTTTCCCTCCTTTTTGCCATTTTTCAAATGTCGTGTAATCAGGATTCGATTCTCGGCGACATTTGAATCCCGCTCGTGGCACTAGGTTTTTCATTTCGACTAGAACCTTACATAAAATGATTAATTACAAGAGTCACGTTAGATCAAGTGGTAGAGCAGCGGCGTATTTAGCCGAAGTTCGTGTGTTCGAATCCTAGCTTTTTCCTTTCGACTATAACCTAACATAAAATAATGTTTACTGTTTATTCTTTCAAATATATCCCATTTCAATTCGATGGTGTAATAAAATAATAGTTATGAAATTTTATGTATCGCAAGTGATTATTTGAAGAAAAGAAGAAAAATATGTAAAGCATTTAGGTTAAATAATGATATTTATATATTACGTATTCTGTAAATTTAGTTTTTTTGTGATTTAGACATTGTTAACAACAACAAATGTATAAATGGGAAAACAAAGAAAACTCTATTAAAAAAACATGGGTAGATAAACGGATAGATGGATGGAAAAATGGATTGATTGATAGATAGATCGAGAGAGAGTAAATATATAGAGAGAAAAACAGAAGAAAAACCCTCATATAGCCAGTGCAAATAAATGAATGATCGAATGATTGTGCGTGAGAATGAGAGAGATCGATAGAGACATAAATACTTAGGATGAATTACTATAACAAACCTTGCAAATTTAGTTTGCAAGCAACTTATAATACAATGAACGTGACAGGTGGACCGATTGATGTATAAATATATAGATATATATACAGATAGATAGTTAGACAAGAACAGAAAAGTAAAATAGAGAAAATATGTAGACAAATAGATCGATAGGTAGAAAAGTAAAGAGTGTAAGAATAAGAACGAGAGAATGAGAGAGAGAGAGAGAGAGAAAAAGACAGAGGCAGAAGGAGAGAGAGAGAGAGTAGGAGAGCAAGGCACTGAAAGGGGAAGAGAGCGATTAGAGATATACGAGGAGAAATAGGGAAAGAGAGAGAGAGAGAGAGAGAGAGAGAGAGAGAGAGAGAGAAAGACAGAGGCAGAAGGAGAGAGAGATAGAAAGAGAGTAGGAGAGCAAGGCACTGAAAGGGGAAGAGAGCGATGAGAGATATACGAGGAGAAATAGGAGAGAGAGAGAGAGAGAGAGAGAGAGAGAGAGAGAGAGGGAGAGAGAGAGAGAGAGAGAGTGAGAGGGAAAATTCAGAAAAAAAGATAGTTTGATTTTATTCGTGGCTTTCTCTCATCTCAAAGGTCTTATCTAGTAAAACTGGCTTAAGGAATAACTTTAACTTAAGAGAAGTTAAACAATGGTCCTACGCTGTTCGAACTTTCTCTAAAGAGGAAGCAGTCTGTCCTGTCTTACAATAGGACATTGTAAGCTTAACTACGGATTTCTCATGACAAGAGTACTTCAACTTGCACATCTGTCATGCATTATTACAATAACAGTAGGCACATCCTCACATCATTAATTTGAGATAGAGAGGTATATGTTTGATGATAGTTATAGAATAAAATCCTTCGTCAAAATTGTTCGACTTACTGATTTCTTATCTAAATTGGTACATAATTGTCTCGATTGCACGCAAATAAGGGCGGTTGGTCTTGTTTTGTTAATTATTTTTACAATAATTTTCTTAACAAACCAATCTCGGATGTCACACCGGTGTATCATTCGCGTAAAAGAATATCTCCTGTTTTTTTTAAACTCGGTCCGGCTGTCAAAGAGTGCAAGATGCCCCGAGGGGATTGACGGGTCATTTTTATTCCCGGTGGCACGGAGTAGGAAACAAATAAAATTGAAATTGGTAACGGGCCAGGAACTTGTCGAGCCCAGAGAACTGGATCCTTTTCCACCTGATGCGACAGTTTCACTCCTTAGCCAATCTTCTACATTATGCCAAGAGTTAACCCTGGACAGGAGTGTGAAAGAATCAAATTGTAGTGCTGTTTGAGCTAGAAATAATAATACTTAAGAAAAAAAATTATTAACACAAGTATATGAATTATTAATTTATTGTGATGTTTGTGTTTTAGGACTGAAACGCGTCGCCTGGCCGCCTCCTCCGGAAGAGTCGTACGAACAGGAGTCCGCTGAGGTCCAGGAGCCGTTATACTCTCAAGTGAGTTTTTTTCTCCCGAAAGCCTATTTAAGGAACCTTATCTTGGAATTATTTACCGTATAGGGCAATAAAAGTGATTTAAGCACGTGTTAAGGGCTCCAGGACCGGCCTAAATTATCCTCCCCTTGATGCCAAACCAGATTAATGTTTACAAAACACAAAATCACATCGACTATCAATCTATTCTTTGTTGTAGTACTGTGTAAGGTCTGCCTTTTAAATTTACCGAGGGTTGAATTCATTGGGTCTGTCTATTTTCGCTCCTTGAACTCTATTGCTCGTAGAGATAAAAACACCCTTGAATTATATCAATACTTTTCTTGACCATTTCAATCTTGTCATTTTGAACAGGTATGCATTACAAATTTATTCGTTTTTGACAAACTTATAAGAAAAAAATATCGTGTAAGCTTACAGTGGACAAAAGATATTAAAAAAAGATTTTTGGAACGGTATAACGTTTCGATGTAGTCACCGTTTCACATTTGGATCTAGGCCTTATGTTTTTTACTTTCTGGCAACATGCCGATCTCAGTTTCGCATAAAGAAAGCCGTCTTGTTTATCTGTAAATTTTGTTTCTAACGGCTGACTCGCGTTTTAAAAAATATATCAAAACTTTCAGAATAATTCAAAAGTTAGAGTTGATTTGAGGAGAATATTAACAATTTTTAGATATAAAAGATTCAAGATAATTTTTGCGTTTACTTGAACTGAATTTTCACAAATACTTTTAATTTGCTTTATGTATTGCATTTTTTTAAAGCATTTTGACTAGAGATTAAAGTCGGGTGGACGGTGTGTTGAGCTTATTCTTACCCCATGTACTGATTTGGGTGAATCAGCAAAGGGGATGGCGTTTCGGTCAGCCGTTCACAAGATTTTCAATCTGCATCGGTTTTAATTCGCCGATAAATCAAGATTATATTATTAATCGCTTAATCTCTGGTTCAATAGTCGGATCGGCCAAGCCGGGTGACAAATTAGGAACGGGGCGCTGTATTTAATTCGCTTGATTTAGTTTGCCGGTGAATCCGATTTAAAATTGATTTCACGATTCAAATCGAATCTTATAATTCTTCTCCAACATCAGTATCAGTTTTTTTTAAAAATACCAATGACTAGCAAGTAAGTGAGTTTTCAAGTTTATTGAATTCTCGCGGGAAAATCAGGACGGAATGATAAGGCGCTGGGTAATGCTAAACCCGCATTACATACTTGTATTACAGAAGTGTAGGTATACTTCGCCGTACTTCCAACCATAGAAAATATCTTTCATTTATTTATTTTTTTAATCTTCAGGACATTCTGATATAATCACATTTTATTTTCGACCATTCGAACATTAAAAATGGTTTATTAAGTAAAACAAATGATGTTGGACCGGCACAGGTTCACTTACTGGGTCTGTTTCCACTCGCGGGATTTTGAGTTATTAAAACGCGTTTCGGCTTTGTGCAATCTTCTGTGAGGAACTCATCATAAAATTTCCTCACTGATGATGGCGCAATGCCGAAACGCGTTTGAACTATTCAAAAAACCGCGAGTAGAGACAGACCCAGTAAGTGTGCCGGCTAAACGTCAGTTCCCCGACTCGCAGGTCAAAACCCATCAACTCTAAGTACAGAGTATTATGCCAAATTTTAAGCGGCTAACATTAAACGTAGTGATCAAATGTGCTGAAAAAACGCGAAAATTACTCACTAGTTAAAGAAAAACCTATAACTGAACGACATAATTTAAAACAACTTTTGATTTAAAATTTTTAAAAGTTAGACTGCTTAGAATAATTTTTCGTAAATATGAAATATACTCTTTAGTAGTAAATGAAAATAGCATTTAAATAAGACTTTATATGAATAACACCATCATTTGACTAATAGACTCAGACGTAATTTTTAGTTTACAAGTTAGGTAAACTTTATTGTAAAGATGGCTCTAGTTACAAACTACGCCTTTAATATTACATTTTCGGCTAATATAAACGTTTATACATTTCGTCATGATTTGTCAATAATTATTAAGTTTATTTTCACAAACGTTTTGTAAAAACGTTTCTTAAAATAAATGAATTGGATGTTACTGTTATTTATTTCATTCTGATTGAAAATATCTTTTTTTACTCTACATTTTCTACTGTTCCTACCTCTCAAGCTTAGAAATATAATAATTAAGATAAACCAAATGTCAGCTAAAATACCTCTAATTTTTAAAGGATGGATTCACTTTTCAATTCTAATTTAATAGTGGATAAATATGTAACATTTCTCTTTTTCTCGCACTTACTCATTTATTTGTACATTCAAATATTTCTTCCTTCTCTCACTTTCTCTCTTTCTCTCTCTGTCTGTCTGTCTGTCTCTCACTTTCTGTCTGTCTGTCTGTCTCTCTCGCTCTCTCTCTCTCTCGATTTTTTTTACCTTTCTATCTATCTCTAAATTATTCAGTTACCCAACTCGCAAACCAAAACCCATCGTCAACTTTAAGTACAGCATATAATGATATATTTTAAGAAGACGACTGACACCAAACGTAATGATTAATTCTGACGAAAATACGCGAAAAATATTAACTGATCAAAAAAAACCTATAACTGAACGACAACTTTTGATTACTGCTTGTTTAAAAAAATTTTTTAAGTTAGACTGCTTACAGTACGTTTTCGTAAGTGTGAAATATACTATTTACTAGTGAAGGAAAATAGCATTTAAATAAGATTTTAGGTGAATCACACCATCATTTGGCTAATTGATTCTGACGTACTTTTTAATTTACGAGTTAGGTAAACTTTATTGAAATGACGACCACTTACAAAGTACTCTTTTAATATTACATTTTTGGCTAATTTAAAACTTTATACATTTCCTCATGATTTGTCAATAATTTTTAAGTTTATTTTCACAAACGTTTTTTAAAAATTTTTCTTAAAATGAATAAATGTTATTTATTACATTCTGATTGAAAATCTTTTTTTTACACTACATTTTTACTTTTCCTACCTCTGAAGCCTAGAAATATAATAATTAAGATAAACTAAATGTCAGCAAAAATACCTCTAATTTTTAATAAATGGATTCACTTTTCAATTCTAATTTAAAACTGCTGGATAAATATGTATCCAATTTTCTTTTACCCTTCTATCTATCTCTAAATTATTCAGTTCCTCGACTCGCAGACCAAAACTCATCGTCAACTTTAAGTATTATTTTAAGAAGGCGACTGACACTAAACGTAATGATCAACTCTGATGAAAATACGCAAAAATTACTCACTGATAAAAAAACACCTATAACTGAACGACAACTTTTGATTACTGCCTGTTTAAAAATTTTTTAAGTTAGACTGCTTAGACTACTTTTTCGTAATTATGAAATGTACTCTTTAGTTGTAAAGGAAAATAGCATTTAAATAAGATTTTAGATTTGGATCATTTGGCTAATATATTCAGAAGTAATTTTTAGTTTAGGTAAACTTTATTGTAAAGATGCCCAGTTACCAAGTACTCTTTTAATATTACATTTTTGGCTAATTTAAAAGTTTATACATTTCGTCATGATTTGTCAATCATTTTGAAGTTTATTGTCACCAACGTTTTGTAAAAACGTTTCTTAAAATAAATCAATTGGTTATTACTGTTATTTATTACATTCTGATTGCAAATATCGTATTTTAAGTACATTTTCTACTGTTCCTACCTCTGAAGCTTAGATATTTTATAATTAAGAAAAACCAAATTTCAGCAATACTATCTCTAATTTTTAATAGTTGGATTCACTTTTCAATTGTTATTTAATACTGCTGGATAAAAATGTAACACTTATCCTCTTTCTCGTTCTTATTCATTTATTTATACATTCAACCATTCCTTCCTTCACTCTCTCTCTCTCTCTCTTTTTTTTACCTTTCTATCTATCTCTAAATTATGCAGTTACACACTCGTTCATTTTTTCGTTCACTCACTCACTTATTCTTTTTGCACTCTCTTTTCAGTATATTTCTCTTTCAATTTCTCACTCATTTTTTCATGTCCTCATTCACTCACTTAGTCGCCCATGTATTCATCCACTTCTCTTACTATATATACAGTATTTTTGTAATAATTACAATAATTTGTAAATGTTGCACATTGTGTAATATTAAAATATAGAAAAGGTAATATATTTCAACGAATTATGCAAGTGGTGCAACGGTGGAAATAAAAATAGAAAACATTTGTTAAACACGATTTCTTTGGCACCAAGTTTATTTTTAATAATGGAAATTGTATATTCATGGTGTTTGTTTTTCTATTCCAATCAATTTACATTCGACTTATTTAAAATAGAATTTATGTATGTTTTTGATAAAGTTCAGTTTTTATTTAAATTTTTTTAGTTAATTTGACATAATTCAATTTGTTTTATGTATGTTATATTTTGTATATGTGTTACAGTGATTGTTTCCGTTTTGGTTTTTGTAAAATAAAAATAATATTGCCAATCACTCTTTTCTTGAAAATCTTTGTTCAGCGACAACCAAAGAAGGATGATTTGTTTGTCCGACCGGTTTGAAATTCCATCGTAAATATGCGATCAAAGCAACGGCCGTTTTATTCGCCTGGCTCATTCGCGACGCTCGTCGCGTATGAATTTCAATCTCGTCTCCTATCCCGTCTATCCTTGGTGCTCGGTTCATTGTAAAACAGGTCACATACCTGTTCTGTATGACGGATCTTCATCGATATCAATTTTAGAAAATCCTCCCCCAACTCTGGAAGGCTATTACTTTCGCCACGGAGAACCTACGGGACTGTTTCGCGCTCGAGACTCAAGGGAAAATCAAGTTTTGCCGGAAGCGATTGCGACGTATAAAATTAGTGCAGTATTTAGAGTTTTATGGTTAGATTTTAGCCAAAAGCATAAATATTAATCAAAAATAAACTGGTTAAAATAATTCAATTTAGTAAATTGAGTGAGTAATTTAGTATTAAGAGTAATCTATTTTTCGATTAATCTTATTGTTTTATGCCAAATTCACTTTATTCGACACAGTTGTAAGCTCTTTCACTTCTTTTGTCTATCTTGGATGTATACATCGGTCAAAATGATTTTTTTTCATTTCTCCCTCTTACTCACTTTCTCTCTCTCAATCTATCTTTATTTATCTAACTATTTATCTAATTAACCTATCTTACTATTTCCTTTTATTCTCCCATTTATTCATTTACTCAAAGACTCATCCTCTTTTTCTCACTCTTACACTTTACCTCTGACCCTATCTCTCTCTCACTCTTTCTTTCTTACACTTTCTCTCGCTTTGTCTCCCTGTCTCACTCTTTTTAGTTTTCTCCTATATCTATCTGTCTCTCTTTATCTAATTCATTTATTTATTCATTCATTCAAGTACTGACTTTCTTCCACGCTTTCTCCCGTTCCTCTGTCTTTTACTATCACGTTCACCCAACACTAACTCTCTTTCTCTCTCTCTCTCTCTCTCTCTCTCTCTCTTTTATTCATTTTCTCTTTCATTCTATATTCCCTTTATTTGGTACCCTCTTTTACATTACTCTCACTTTCACTTTTTTCTTTCTTTCAATATCTACTGCCATTTTTCAATTTTTTCTTTTAACTTCATTACCTTTTAAACTTCCTCATAAACCAACTCTTTACCATAAATTGTATCTAACTATCTCTCTGACACCCCCTCTCTTTCTCTTTCCACATTTCTTTTGATCTACCTTGCCCTCTCTCTCTTTCCCTCTCTCTCTCTCTCTCTCTCTCTCTCTCTCACACACACACACTCTCTCTCTCACACACACACACACACTCTCTCTCTCCTTGTGTTATTTTCTTTCTTTTTCCCTCTCAACCACTCTCTCTCACTCTCTCTCCTTGTGTTGTTCTCTTTGTTCTCTTTCGTTTTCCCTCTCAGCCACTCTCTCTCTCGCTCTCTCTCTTTGTCTCTCTCTATCTATCTATCTACCTGTCTATCTCTCGATAAATCTATCTGTCTATCAATCTTGCTATCTATTTACCTATCTATCATTCTATCTATACTATCTGTCCAACTAGTTATTGATTAGATAGATAGATTACTCATTCTTATTTTTTCTTCATTATCTCTCTTTCTTACTCTCTCTCTCTTTCTTATATTCTCTCTTTCTCTTATATATATATANCAATATATATATATGTAATCATATATAAATTAAGTTTGGTCATTTTTTATGTCGGTATATATTTCTATTGCTGAATTTTATTGAACAATTTACCTTATCTTGTGTCTGTTAATTGATTTTTTTGTAAAATTATTTTGAATTTTGATTGTGTATCTCTTTGGCTCTTTGTTTGATTTTTTGTCAATTTTTGTCTTTGTTTATTTGTTCTTGCTGCAGGAACTCACATTTCTTCTATCCCTCTCCCTCTCTATTTCATTGTTCTCTCTTTCTCTCTTCTCTATCTCTCTATCTATTTATCTTTCTAATCTAGATCAATCATTCAATCTATCTATATTGCTTTCTATCAGTCTTTCTTTTTATCTATTTCTAATCCCAATCGATCGTTTTAACTCAAACGCTCACTCATTCGTTAATTCATTTGCTCGACTATCTACAACTTTCTTTTTCTTGCTCTTCCATAACCAGTATTTTTGCATGCAGCAGTGTTTTTGGATTACAATTTCGGCTTCCTTTTAAAATGTTTTACAGTAATGAATTGCAAACGTTAAAGTTGATGTTACATTAATATAATCACTATAGATTCAGAAAACGCGACCATTTCTTATAAATGATTTTTCTACTTATTAGCGGATAATTCTATTTTTTTTTTTCATTTTTGCATTATACAAAGTTATTATATAAATCTTACCCTGTGATCAAAAACTGATTAAATGTTTTTTTTTAATTTTCAGAGGCCCCACCAATATCAGCAGCAGCAATTTCCTCAGCAGTCATACCAGCAGCAGCAGTTCCAGAAGCAGGAGCCGCAGTTCCACCCGCAACAGCAGCCGTTTAATCAACCGGAGAACCAATACCAACAGCAGCCTTTCTCTCCCGTAAAGCCCGTCGCCCCGCCAACCCCTAGGCAAGACCATCAGCCGGCCGGCTACACCCCGCAGCAGCACGCGGTCTTTCATCCGGTCCGTTTCGAGCCGCCAAGGGCGACTGTGACTCTCAGGCCTTCACCTCCGCTCTCCCAGGCGCCATCGCCCGTTTACGCAGCACAACCGGTTGCAGTAAGCATCAAAGGAGGCGAAAGGATGAGGGGAGATCAGAAATGGCCGCCGGAAAGCGTGAAGCAACAGAGCGCCGCTGAAAACGAAGCCAGGCTCGCCCTCGCCAAAGGGCCCGCCTGCAGACCTAGGAAAGTCAAAAAGGACTACAGCTCGTTCTTCGCTCAACACGCTCTCAATTCCACCTACCCCGGCTACAGACCTCCTCCCGGCACCCAGCACTACAGCGAAGGAACATCCGACCTGTGATTTAATAACGACTCGTATACATGTATATTACGTCGGATTCGTGTAATCGCCTAAATTTTCCAATTTACGTCTGCTTTTGTTTCATAGTTCCAAACCCAAAACGTTCGATGAGGGAACAGTTCGCCCTCTTTCAAAACAATTTTACAGAGACATCAATAATTTATATTTGCCGAGATCACACGAATTCGACGTCAAATCTGTATAAGATATTTGCGCTTGAAACCGATGCTTATACGTTCGAACTAAAAAAAATATCTATGAAAATTCCTGCTTTGCGAAATTATTTGTAACTTCTTACCAGGAAAAATTCCGTTTATTTTTATATTTTTTATAAAGAATTTTCCTTTTCTGAAACAATTGGAACCTCTTTCTTTCCTCCGTCAACCCTCTTTTAAAAACTTATCCTTTTATTCATATGTACTAATAGAAGTGTTTACAACGAAATACGAGAAAAAAAATTAAAATGTGATGTACAAATAAAAACAAAACTTGCTTGTAATTGTAATCTTACATATTATTACATTATTAATAAAGTGTATTGTATATAATTTGATTTTGTCTCTAATTTTTTTTTTGCGAGGGTTTGCAACATAAGAGGTCATATCAACCCTCGGGGTGCCGGTGTTTTTGGAAAAAAAAAACATTTGTAATTATGTCGGGTTCGAATGCCGGGCCGCTGGATTCGAACCCGGTACCTTTTCCTTACAGTGAGAGAATCGTGTCAACGCCTAAACTGTTGCGGCCACCGACGCCCCAAGGCTCTGATTTTACCCCAAAAAAAAAAAAAAACATTAAAAAAGAAGCGTTTTTCGTAATGTTTAGCATTCTATTTCAATTTTCAAGAAGTTTTCTTTAACTTAAGAATTTATTTTTTGAACTTGGGAAATCACTTCCTGCGCGGTTATTTAATAACTCCTTTTTTTCTATTAACCATAAAGTTTTTTTTCTTAGTACTTAGCGGGAATTTTATCCAATTCTTCCATTTAACGCTATGAATTTTTGTTCCATCTTTCCAATTCAAACACTAAAATAGATGTGTTAAAAATAAAATTTAAAAACCAATATAAAAAGTAATAATGTATCAACAAATGGTTCAAATTATTCATTCAACGTAGAAAAAGACGACAAGCGATAAACGAAGGATCGAAAATTGAACGTGACTAACACGGAACTGATTATACTGACATGTTTCATCTTAAGATCCCTATTCACCTGCCATGTTCAAAGTTTTCTTGTTTCAGCGATAAAACGTTTTCAAATCACATTTATTCTGTTGATTTAATTGGGACATCACCTACCCTATTCGGGATCGTCAACCGTGTCAACCTGTCTTCTCATTCCGAGGTATGATTTTATGCTACGTGCTGTTACCATGGAATCTATAAAAATCGGAACGTATTTATTAACATTTTATTAAAGACGGCACCCTAATAGATATGTGATATTATGTTTTAAGGATTGTAGTTCAACGCTGTGAAAATAATAATTGTCTAATTATGATTTTTTTTATTTTTTCAATCAAACTAGGTTACGTAAATTCAAAATAAACTTTATTATAGAACTTAGAGTTTACTTCAGTTGAACTGGTAATATTTATATTAATTAATTAAGGCTTTTAGCTGGAATAAAATAGCCAGTGTCAAAGGCGGGATTCGAACCCACGACCTCCGGCTAAATACGCCGCTGCTCTACCACTTGAGCTATCGTGACCTCGATCCTCTCGGGCACTAACTTTCCATCTCAACCACACCTTTTGAATTTTTCCCTCCTTTTTGCCATTTTTCATTGTCGCCGAGAATCAAATAGATTAAACGACATTTGAAAAAGGGCAAAAAGAAGGGAAAAATTCAAAAGGTGGGGTTGAGGTGGGGAGTTTGTATCCGAGAGCTCCATTATATCGGGTTGTCCGGAAAATAATGCAGGATTTTAAGTTTTCATTAAAAAAAATCTATATAAAATATTCTGTTTACGTTTACAGGATTACTCATTTGTATGAATGTCAACACTTATTAATCCTCTTCCAAATGATATTGTTTGTTTACCTCTGTAGCATTCCGCTACTTGGAAATAATTCAGTCATCCTTATAATGTCAAAGCGAGAATTTCGTACGATTTTCTTTTACGAGTTTAAACTCGGCCGAAGCGGAGCCCAAACGGCTAGAAACATTAACCAAGTCTGGGGCGAGGGTTGTGTTAATGAGTGCACTGTGCAAAGGTGGTTTAAAAAATTTCGGGAGGGAGATTTCAGCCTTGAAGATGAAGAAGGTCGTGGAAGGCCTTCCTCTCTTAATGATGATGTTCTGCGATCAGTGGTGGAAGAAAACCCCAAAACAACTGTTCGAGAACTTGCAGAGCAACTCAAAGTCAGTAAAACGACCGTCGCTGACCACCTCAAGGCGATTGGAAAAGTGAAAAAACTCGAAAATTGGGTTCCACACTCATTAAACGATCGCCAAAAAAATCAGCGCTTTGATGTTTGTGCATCACTTCTTTGTCGAAACAAAAATGACCCATTTCTGGCCAGAATTGTTACATGTGACGAAAAGTGGATTCTCTACGATAACACTAGACGTTCTGGACAGTGGCTCGACAAAGGAGAAGCTCCAATACATTTTCCAAAGCCCCCAACTCATCAAAAAAAGGTAATGGTTACGGTATGGTGGGCTTCATTTGGTTTAATACACTACAGCTTCTTAAATCCTGGCGAAACCATCAATGCTGAATCATACTGTAACCAAATTAATACCATGCATCAGAAATTGGCAGTAATGAAGCCCTCTTTGGTCAATCGGAAAGGGCCCATTTTGTTGCATGACAACGCTCGACCACATGTGTCACGTGTAACGTCACAAAAATTATTGGAGCTTGGCTATGAAACTTTGCCTCACCCACCCTACTCTCCGGACCTCTCGCCTACTGACTACCATTTTTTTAGACACCTGGACCACTACTTACAACACATAATATTCAAAAATCAAACGGAACTGGAAAATGCGTTTATTGACTTTATCAATTCTAAAAATTCTGAATTCTACTCAGACGGAATTAATAAGTTACCAACACGTTGGGAGAAATGTATTGAGAGTATGGGAAATTATTTTGATTAAAGAACATTGCTTTAAAGTAACTAGTTTCTTTTTTTTTGTTTAATACCAAAATCCTGCATTATTTTCCGGACAACCCAATAGATCCAAGTCTCGATAGCTCATGTGGTTAGAGCAGCGGCGTATTGAACCGAAGGTCGTAGGTTCGAATCCCGGTCGTGACCCTGACTTTTTTATCTCAACAACCTTAATTAATTGAAATATATTAATTGGTCAAGCGGACCACGAAACTAGTTAATTTATATTAATATTTAATTGTTTATTTGTTTTGTAAACTTGTGCTTAATTATACAAATACTCTATTAATTATACTCAATTTTTTCGAAATTAAAAATTTGTGTCACAGGCGGGTTGCGTGTATAATTAATTGAGTATTTGTATAATTGAACATAAGCTGATAAAATAATAAAAAAGTTAGTATTAATTCGATTAGGTTTCGTGGTCCGATTGACCAAATAAATTCTTTTCAATTAATTAATCTTTTAAGTAAGGTATTGGTTGAGATAAAAAAGTCAGTGTCACGAGCGGGATTCGAACCCACGATCTTCGGCTAAATACGCCGCTGCTGTACCACTTGAGCTCTCGTGATTTCGATCCACTCGGGCACTAACTTCCCATCTCAACCCTAACTTTAGAATTGACTCTCCTTTTTGCCATTTTTCAAATGTCGTGTAATCTATTTGATTCTTGGCGACAAATGAAATTGCCACGGAGAGCTTTAGTGAAGTATACTACATCTTTGCGTACTAAATCAATTATGTTTCACTGTCCGATTGACCAAATGAAGTCTTTTCAATTCAGTTCCTCTTCCATAAACAGGACAATTTAATTATGTGTTTTTTTCTGTTTTTTTTTTACAGATTTAATAGAAATAGCTATCCAGTATAATAAGTTAACAACCACACTAGAAAAACCGTTTATGGCATAATATAATTATTATTAAAAAATGGTGTACCGGTTATTGGTTGAAAAATGGCGAAAAGCAGGGAAAATTCAAAAAGGTGGGGTTGAGATTGGAAGTTGGTGTCTGAGTGGATCGAAGTCAGGATAGCTCAAGTGATAGAGCAGTGGCGTATCTAGCCGAAGGTCGTGAGTTCGAATCCCGCTCGTGACACTAAATTTTTTTATCTCAACTAATACCTTACTTAAAAGATTAGTTATTATTAATCTAGTATCACACCTTTCAATCGTACACAGTCCTGCTAATGTAGTACAATCGTCAATAAAAAGTGTTTCCATATAAAGTCGCAATTTGCTTATAATTGTAATAAAACGGGGAGTCGAAATGAGAAGTTTGTGGCATGGGCGATCGAAGTGACGAACGCTCAAGTAGTAGAGCAGCGGCGTATTTAGCCGGAGGTCGTGGGTTCGAATCCCGCCTTTGACACAAATTTTCCATTTCGAAAAAAATTGCGCATAATTAATTGAGTTCTTGTTAATATTTAATTTAGTTCAGTGTTATTCAAGTCCATAAAGACAAGCCATTCAACACATTCATTTCAATCTATATTCACGCTAATATATACATTCTTTTCGATAAATAACATATGCACAAATATATATATATANTTCTGGTGATGTAAAAAATATAAATAAATTTAACAATCTCCTTTTTTCTGGTAAAGTAAAAAAATTAAATAAATGTAACAATCCCCTTTTTTCTGGTGAAGTAAAAAAAAAAATTAAATGTAACAATCTCCTTTGTTTGCAAACCAAAAATGTTCAAAATCATTATAATAATTGTTCGAACTGACCTCCATTTTGCTGCAACACAGTAGCCTAGTCTATCGTAAAACGATGATCGGACGAAAAAAATACTATTAAACCTTAATCAAATTAATTTGTGAAGAATTTTTTTTTAAATTTTTACATTGTGTTTGAATGTTCTAATAATATTGGTTTTGTTTATTTTCCTTCCAACCTACTAAAACTAATTTGTAACGAATGGTGTGTCGAAAGTGACTCGCCTATTTTTGGTAGGAGACTAACAAAATAAAATGTGCCGAGTCATGTCAGACGCACCAACGATGATTTTCCAATTGTGCACCGAAAATTGACTAAATTTCTTTTATTAACGTATTAATCAAAGGAAATAAGCCTCGAGTCAGATTTAGACGCACCCACGTTGATTTTTCAATGGTGTGTCAAAAAATGACCCCCTGTATATGCACACACACAAAACGATCTCTGTTATATAAAGTTGCTATTTCTTTGCCCACTTAATTTTTTCTATTAAAATGTGCTCTAAAGTGATAATGTACTTACTATACCAGTTTTATTATCGTATCATTTTATCATCGTTATCAATATTTTGAATCAGCTCTTAAAAATTATTTTTTTCTCCAGATATTTTTTATTGCATTGAATAAATGCAGTCGCAGAAAAATCAAGGTGAATATTAAGGCAACAGGTTATGCTAAACGTGCAATACACATTTGTCTTGCGGCACTGTAGCTACGCTTCGCCGTACTTCTGTCGATTGTAAACATCTCACTTTTTATAAAATGATGTAAAGTGAATCTACATACTCACCCTATTTTTACTAATGAAAACATTAAATGCTCCAAAGTGACAATTTATCTACCCAATGGGCTCCGGCGTGGTCTTCCGTTAAAAAGGAGTCCACGCTTGATTCCGTGTGACCTATATTCAACCTGACAGTTTTACCTTTTCCGTTCTAGACTGGTCTCTGCAGTCCTGCGGTGTCTTTTTTAACTCTAAATGATGTGAGTTTTTCGTTCCAGCCTTCATTCATTTTTTATTTAACGAGGGTGGCATCTTGGCTAGTCTATCGATCGATCCCTCTTAGCGGATCAAATATTTTTCGTAAATACGTCCAAAAGCAAAGAAAAGTTGTTGTATTTTTCCCCCAGTAAATTAGGCTTTTAATATACCGTTCCTACAATTAAATTTTCATTCATAAAATCTATTTTTAAACATAAAATGTATTCTTTACATAATTGAAACTAAACATTTCAAAATTAATTTTATCTGCGAAGAAATATTAAACCTGATGCTCGTCCCTTAGTGAAATATTCACAAGATTTTGAAAAATAAAAGTCATAATCTTTTTAATAATTACATAAAACAGTTATCCTGGTGAAACCATATTAAAACTGAAATTTCTTTTTTGAATAAACTGAAAAACGTTACCATTAAAAATAATTTATTTCTAGCTGCCAAGGATAGAAAATAATTAGACGAAATTTTGTACTGTTTATTTTGACATACATTCTTTAATATAATATCCATTCTTTGCATTTGCATAATAACAATTGTAAATATGATTTTTATAACAAATAAAACAACACATTTATAACGTTTGGAATATAAAAAACAACAATTTCAAACAAAACAATTTTCCTTTATGTTTTCAAACAAAATTTTAAAAAATTCTTATATTTTAACATTAAAAATCAGGTAACGTTTACCTTCGTCGATTAGTAAAAATATCCCACTAGATGCTCGCTAACAATTATCGCCTAAATTTTAAGTAATTTTCGTCTAAAAAAAATCTTTAGTATACATTCTTCTTTGGCTTTTTAAAAGCCGTGACAATTTTTTTTGTGAAAACATTTTGAAAACACGCATTTCGAAGTGAATTCTTGACAATTATAGATTTTCACCTTACAAAACCCCACAAAAATTGACCCTTTAAGGGTCGCCTGATGATAAATTTTGTTTATTTACACCAAGTTTAGATAGCAACGCTTTACCTATTCTCGTAATACGGCTCAAATGAATAATTAAAAAAATGTTTTCCCGAGGAAAGCCCGTTATTTGAAAACAATTTTAGGCCTTTGAAAATTTTCTAATTCTAATTTAGTAATAGTTGAATCAGTTTAATTTGTTTAATATTCATGTGGCTTTCTATATTAACATGAAATGACGAATATAATTAAATTATTACACTATAAATAAAATCAGCACACTTTGACAAAAGTGTGCGGTGATTAGTGACCGTTAGTCGATAATTATTCAGAAATCGTGAGATGCGGTCTGGTGTGATGTAGGTTTCAGTAAAACATTTTCTTTATCGTGCCAACGTTTTTATCTTTATTGAGATCAGTTTCAGGGCTCAAAATGGCACTCTCAACACGACACGCAAGAATGGCACACTTAGGCAGAAAACAAACACTTTGAGCCCTGAAGAGGATCTCAATAAAGATCGAAACGTTGGCACGATAAAGAAAATGATTTTCTGAAACCTACATCCACCAGACCGCATCTCACGATATTTGAATAATTATTGACAAAAGTGTATGATTTTTCGTATTTATCCAAACCCTTCAATAAATGAGTCAAATTATGCTGTAATTGAGTACTGAAGTACGTTAAAAAAAATTATTTGCCTTCAAACTTAGGCGAAAAATATTTATAAAATAAGTCAAAAAGAAAATATAATAATTTTAAAATAACAAGCGGTATCCGGTTAAAAATATTTAATTACTTGGTAATCTTATTTTAATTTGTTTTAACACATAATATAGTGAAACGGTCATGATTTACACAATATGTAAAAAAAAAAAAAAAAATAGTTTTTAATATTTATTGACATATTTGCATAGATGCTAATTCTAAGCAATTAAACCAGGCTTTCCTCAGGGGTTTAAAATTTGATTTTTATTTACCCTACAGTTATTTACTAGCTCCCAAATACATTTTTCCTGGGCATTTGTCGCCAGATTCCCGTATGATGGCAGTGCTGTGGATTAATTATACCTCAGGTTCGAAAAAAATTCTCGACTTTTATGCGAGATGTGGACCTATATCGGTTTTAATTCAGCAATAAATCCGGATTATATTATTATATTATTAATCCGCTAATCTCTGGTTTTCTAGTAGGATCGATCTTTTACTAGGCAAGATTGAAAAACTAGGATCGGGGGCTGTATTTAATTTGATTTAGTTTCAATTTTAAATAATTTATTGTTGTTTTTAATCAAAATAATAATCTTATTATCATAGTTATCAGTATCAGTTTTGGAAAATTGTCAACTTTCCCAAGATATTTTGAAATGCGTTGAATTGTCACAGAAAAGAAGAATTGTTGAGGCACTGGCCGATTCTAAACATGCATTACAATTTTGTCGTGCGGTAGTGTAGCTACGATTCGCCGTACTTCTGGCCATTAAAAACATTTCATTTCCTTTTATAAATTTTTCTTTCATAACAGTCTAATATAACAATATTTAATTAGATTAATGATCACCGTTATAATTTAAGGACATTTAATTTTTTTTTACTATAAAACATACATAAGTCGATTAGGTCTCGTGGCCCGATTGACCAAATAAGTTCTTCTGCAAAATATGCAAAAATTACTCAATTAGCACCAAACCCTGCATTTAAGTATTATTGTATTTTATAGAAACGTTCGCTTAAAATTTAAAAAAAAAATAAAAACTTTTATTTAAATTTTTGGTTTTATTTAAAAATATTTTCTTAAATGTAAGTAAATATGAAAATATTTTTGTCATATTTTGTTGTTTGTATATTTTAGGTTTTTATGTATTCTTGCCGATCAGTTTTGTTTCTTACTAGCAAATATTTCAAAATTTTGAACTTTTTAAGATTTTTTTATTTTAAACATAAAAATATTTTAACGCCTTTTGGTCTGAAATTACTTACTTATGTATCCGCCGTCTTTATATGGATATTTTACACTAGCTCCCAAATGCAGCTGTCACGTAATTAACGAGTAATATACAAAAAAAAATGAAAATGATTTTCTCAATGAAAATACAATGTTGATATTCGTTTTTTGCATCCGAAAAACCTTTCAATACGAATTATTGAGAAATTTTCTTGCTCTAGTGCCGTAGATATTTCTTTTTTTTCAGAAAATCACAAAAATTAGAACAACCTTGAAACGATAATGGATTTTATAATGCTATATACCGAACATAATGGCATAAATCTGGCATCAGTAAACAAGCAAGAAGAGAACTAAAAAGCAAAACCTTTTTGCAAATTGCATCCTTTTTTTTCTCACTCATAACGAAAAAAATCTAAACCTTGTTCAACATGCTTGAAAGATGAGTTATTCAGGTTGTAATACTGTTAACCTAAATCAGTTATGTTTTGTAAAGTGTAAAAATGGTCATTAAAGGAAAACAAAATAGCTGATACAGCCCACAAATTTCAATTTCACGGTTTTAAAGGGTGCTTAAAACAAATCCAAATTGATTTATTAAAAAAAACGTTTTTTGCTTTCTTCCCGTTTTTCTTATTTTTTATTTAACTAACCTAATTTAATACCAACTTGTCGATTATTTTCTTATCATGGAGAAGAAAATCGACTGACTGAAATTTTGAAATACATGCGCAAAAAAGGCAGAAAACCGTATTTTAAAATAATTGTTGAATTTTAACCTAATTAAGGTCCTGAACCTGGTATCTACAAGGACGTTTTAAGGATGTTAAAAAAAAATTGGACACCCCTTTCTTCTCGTCCTGGAATTTCTTGTTAAACTGCTGAACGCATTAGCGTCAATTTTTTTATATTCCAATAAAACAAAATAGAGTGCAAATACTCTATAGCATTAATTAGGTCAATAAGTCCACTGATAATCCAAAATGTGATCAATATTTTACTTAACTTCTAGCTTAAAAGTTAAGTAGCCTTTTCGTAAATTTAATTGTGTAAACAATTGTTGCAATGATTTAAAATTTTATGGTCGTTTATCTTGTCAAAAGGAACTAAGTTTATTTAGAATTTTTTGTTGTTGTTTTATGGTATTTATTACTAATACAATGAATAATTTTGAGAATTTAAAGCTATTAATAAAACTATAATCATAATTTTTCAAATGTCTAAGTGATATTGGGCCAGAAAAACACCGCCAGGAAATAATTTTTGGCTTGGATTACGGGATTTTCCCCAGGAAAAATGTATTTTTGGTTATCCAATTCTTTGAAAGTATAACAATTCGAAATTATATTTCCCGTAAATTTATGTTAATTGTAAGTTATATTCGAAATTAATTATCATATTGACAACGGAAATCTGAAACCTCGTTCCATTTATGCGAACATTCAACGAAAACCGGGAAAAACCGAATCCGGCAAAAACAACGTAGAAATTTTATAATTAACAATTGGACATTAATTGATACAACAGCGATATATCAATTGTATTTAATGGCAGTAAAATCCACGATTTACGGTTGTAAATTTGAAAAAAATTAAATTAAAAATTTGTTTTCGGCCAGTTTTAGTCTCGTCATCATAATATAAAAAATAAACAAATAAAAAATACACAACCAAAAAACACCAAAACTGCGTAGATTCACCTGATCGAACTTTTATCAACCACTTCACAAATAACATACGAGTCAGTGAAAACACTTAAGGTTTTTTAAAATTGACGTTTACAGTATAAGCGATTGTTCTACATCACAAATACTTTTTTTTTTTTTAAAGAAAACAGAAATCCTTGTGTATACAACACTTGTTTTATTATTTGCCATAAACCTTTCAGTTTCCTTTTGGTTTTTTTCAGTGCGGAACGGGCGGCGTGTTGTCCCACAATGACGATTGGTCCTCCTGTCGTGTTTGAAATATTTACATCTTTGTGACATGTCCGGTTACATGCTCATGTGCATGGGTTGAGGGAGGTCTAGGGGAATTGCCATGCTGGATCTCTGGAAATCGGTCAGAAAAGTTAATTCGAGCAATGTGGTAAAAATCAATTCTTCGATGTATTTTTATATAAAAAAGTATTATTTTTAAGCTTTAAGTCGTATAACCTTGTTGAATTGTTTTGTTATTTTGTTGCTAAATAGTTAAATTGTTTTTTAATTGTACTAAAAACCTTCGACAATTGTAAAAACAACAATATACAAATAAAAAATACACTGTTGGGAAGTCCACTAGAAAGGCAAATTTTATTAACCCTGAAGAGGACTCTTGTCATGAGATTGAAAACGTTCTGTTATTGCCCTAATTTTCGTGGTCCGCTTGACCAATTAATATCTTTCAATTAATTAAGGTTTTTTAGCTGATATAAAAAGTCAGTGATGTCGAGCGGGATTCGAACCCACGACCTTGAAAAATGGCAAAAAGGTGGAGTTGAGATGAGAAGTTAGTGTCGGAGTGGATCGAAGTCACGATAGCTCAAGTAGTAGAGCAGAGGCGTATCTAACCGAAGATCGTAGGTTCGAATCCCGCTTGTGACACTGACTTTTTATCTCAACTAAAAAACCTTAATTAATTGAACGTTCTGTTAATAAATGTAATTCCATGCTACAGCATATTTGTTGAACATATAATGTAATACAAATAATATAATAACAAAACAGAAAAAAATTTAAATATTATTTAAAAAAATAAATAATACACAAAAGTAATTTTGTAAGAATTTTGAATTGAATTTATATTTAGATCAATTTCTTCTCGTTGCTTACTGATTTATGCAAACTCAAATTTACACATGCACCTTCACACATACGCGAAAACTCTTAAGCTTGTCACTTTCCGTCCACCGGCATTTCTAGGTTTTGTAATTTACATATTTTTCGCCAGAGTACGGTTACTCCCAAAATTGGTCCGTCGACAAGATCTCAGTATGATAAAGCATACTACCGTCAGGGAACTGAATTCTCACCTTATATACGTATTATAGAGGGTGTTCCTCAGGGAAGAATACTTGGCCCATTTCTATTTTCAATATACACTGCAGATCTTGTGAGAGAGGATGTTCTTCAGTTTACAAAGCAAATCCGAGTGGCGGACTCGAAGGGTGTACATTTAAAAAAATATTTTTCGCCAGAGTACGGTTCCTCCTAAAATTAGTCCTTCAGATAAGATCTCAGTATGATATAGCATACTACCGTCAGGGAACTGAATTTTCACATTATATACGTATTATAGAGGGTGTTCCTCAGGGAAGAATACTTGACCCATTTCTATTTTCAATATACACTGCAGATATTCCTGTGAGACAGGATGTTCTTCAGTTTGCAAAGGAAAGCCAAGTAACAGACTTGATCGAAGGGTGAACATTTTAACAAAATATCTATCGACACAGTACGGCTACAAAATTTAACAACTCGTCCAATGTCTAAATGTGTTTTTTTAATAACATTTTTTTAAATTTATTCGCCCCGAGACCAGTCCGGACGTGTTCAAAATGTTTATTTGATATTATGACAAAATTATGACACATATTCAAAATTTATGGTAATAAATTAAAAATCTTTTTAACATTTTTGATAGACGGTTTTTTTCTAGCCTAGATAAAGGTTGTATAAAAATGAATAATTTGTTTTAACCTGATGTTTTTTAAGATCCTTCTTAAAATCGGTCTAGCATAGATCATCATAGATCGCCATATCGCCAAATCTAATGGGATAAAACAAAAACTCAACAAATTATAATTCAGAATTTTAAGAAACTCAAATAAATTATTTATCATTTTGGTCCGCCTGGTTTCGCATTTTAGAATCATATTAACTTTGGACGTGTATGTATTGTATTTTTGGCTGGAAGATACTGCACATTTCTTTAATTTGATCTTGATTGATTAAGAAAAAGTTTAAAAATGTCTGCTAGAAAACAGCGAGACAAGGCGAACCCCGCGTGAATTATTGTCTGTAGATTCTAAGCAAATCTGGATTGTTGCATGAGTGTTGTTTTATATTAGAGGCAGCTCCAATCGTAAGAAAGTGTGTTGCGTACCTCCTTACCTGTGGCTGAGTGTTGTACGGAGGAAGCTGCGGTGGCCCCGGTGCAGGCGGCACGGCCGGAACGTACGTCGGACCATCAGCACACTTCGAACATTGGCGTTTTAAAGCCGGCCTCTGCCGCGAACCACGGCATCTCAATGCGAAGCACAGTTCGTCGGCCATTTCCGAGCAAAGGGATTGCGCTCCTCCTCTCTTGCAGAGAAAAAGAAAAATCAAATTGATTTACTTTCTAAAAATTAATAATATTTATTACCCGCTCGAGCTGAGCGTTTCTCTTCGAATTGTAGCAAAATTCGCAAATTGCGATGACGACTGCTATGGCAAGACCGCATAGAAGAACAACAAAAACTCCACCTTACAACATAGTAAACCCTATAGACTGTTATGCTTGTTAAATCATATAAAATTTTACTTATCTTTTTTTTTTAAATTTTTTTTTCACCTTTTTGAAATTGACTCACCGATATTGTCTACTCCGAGAGCGTTCGCTTTGCTCTCTTTACTCTTATCCTTTCGGACGCAAGTGTCTCCAGGGTTTTTCCACCATTTGTCATACAGCATTTGAATCTCGCCTTTCTCCTGGAGTTCTAAGATAACAAGGGATATCCTGTCCCTCCAAGGCGAACCTGGATTTATCGATCGTAAAAGAACAAGGTAAAGTTTTTGAAAAACATTCACGTACCCATTGGAGTAGCGATTCCGTATCCTTTCGTATCCAAGACGCCGCCTATTTGGGTCAGATTGCAGTCCCTTTGTACGATATAATCTAGCATGGTCGATTCCATGAGAAAAGCGTAATTCCCTTCGAGCACCCTTTTAATACCCTCCTCGTATGTCGAAACGAAAACTTTCTTGTTTTCCATGAATCTCCACATTTTCTTGTACGTTTCAATCATGGAATCCTAAAATTTCAAATATATGTTAAATATCAAACATAAAAAAGTTTAAATAAAATTAAATTCATTAGTTTTCGTGGTCCGCTTGAACAATTAATATCTTTCAATTAATTAAGTTTTTTAGTTGACATAAAAATGTCAGTGTCACGTGTGGGATTCGAACCCACGCCCTTCGGCTTGATACGCCGCTACACTACCTCTTGAGCTATCGTGACTTCGATCCACTCGGACACTAACTTCCCATCTCAACCCCACCTTTTTTTAATTTTCCCTCCTTTTTGCCATTTGGCAAATTAATCTGTTTGATCTCGGCGACAATTGAAATGGCCACGGAGAGCTTTAGTGGAGATATACTTCATATGAACTTATTCAATTCACTAGACTTCGTGGTCCGCTTGACCAATTATTATCTTCCAATTAATTAAGGTTTTTTAGTTGAGATAAAAAAGTCAGTGTCACGAGCTGGATTCGAACCCACGACCTTGAAAATTGGCAAAAAGGAGGGAATATTCAAAAGGTGGGGGTGAGATGGGAAGTAGTGTCCGAGTGGATCGAGGTCACGATAGCTCAAGTGGTAGAGTAGCGGCGTATCTAGCCGAAGGTCTTGGGTTCAAATCCCGCTCGTGACACTGACTTTTTTATCTCAACTAAAAAACCTTAATTAATTGAAAGTTCTGTTAACAAATGAAATTCCATGCTACAGCATATTTATTGAACATATAATGTAATACAAATAATAAAATAACAAAAACATCAAAAAATTTAATTATTATCTAAAAAAATAAATAATTTAAAAAAGTAATTTTGTAAGAATTTTGAATTGAATTTATATTTAGATAAATTTCTTCTCGCGGCTTACTGATTTATATAAACTCAAATTTACACAGGCACGTTCACACATACGCGTAAAGAGTTAAGCTTGTCACTTCTCCGTCCACCGCCAATTCTAGGTTTTGTAATTTACAACAAATTACCGGCAGGCCTCGAGATCACGCACTCCAGGTGTTGACAGTACCGGTCATACCTCGGGCTTATCCGTACAGCCAGAAAGATTAGGCTCCAGGGGCTGTCGACAACAAGGTCATTTCAGCCCCTAAGACATAAAAATTAACAATTAACATAATGTGTGGTGTTTAGTGACCGTTAGTTGATGATTATTTGGAGATCGTGAGATGAGGTCCGGTGTGACGTAGGTTGCAAAAACTTCTTTATCGTGCCAACGTTTCGACCTTTATTGAGATCATCTCCAGAGCCCGCTTGACCAATTAACATCTTTCAATTAATTAAGTTTTTTAGTTGAGATAAAAAAAGTCGATGCCAATGTGACATGTGGTAGAGTAGCGGCGTATCTAGCCGAAGGTCGTGGGTTCGAATCCCGTTCGTGACACTGACTTTTTATCTCAACTAAAAGCTTTAATTAATTGAAACATTAATTGGTCAAGCGGACCACGAAAACTAATGAATTGCATAAAAATTTATGCTATATGTTGTGTTTATATGTTGTGTGTGTACATTCTAATGAGCCCTCATACAGCCAACTTTTTTAACAATATTTTTTTCTATCAGTCTAATTGAAATTAAATCAGTTTATTTTGAAACACAAAATTAAAATATGCTCCATAGCATCTGTAATGGTACAAAATTCTTTAAAATATTAGGAATCTAGTAATGAAAGAAGTGTGAGGTGAAAAATCTTGTTTTCAAAAAAGCAATTTTTGAAGAATGATTTTAAATCTCAGCGCAAAATTTGAATAGTCCTTCAAAATCAGGTGCTGAATGATTACGTATTAAATCACGATCAGCTTGTTGAAGTTCTCTTCAGGAATCGAGGAAAACAGTTAAGTTTGTTAAGGCTTGTCAAAACTAAAATTTTCTATTTGTCCGAAAAATTGTATTTCGATTATTTTGGGCTGTTTAAAAATTACTTTATTTTGACACTATAAAAATATTTTAACCTTCATTCTACGTCGCACGTTCCCCAATTATGTATTTAAATATCTTTCATACAATGCTTTATTATGCAATTTTGACGTACTGATTCGTGACCAGCAGAGCACGGACAAACAAATTTTTAGCAAGATAAAAAGAAAAAAATCTTTCAGTAGATAAAACAATGTCTAAATTTTATGATACAATTAATAATCGAATTAACAACTCTATGATGGGGCGTCGGTAGCCGCAACGGTTTAGGCGTTGACACGGCACTCATCATTGTAAGGTAAAGTTCCCGGGTTCGAATCCAGCGGCCCTGCATTCGAACCCGACATACTTACATATGCGCTTTTTTTTCAAAAGCACCGGCACTCCGAGGGTTGATAATAACCTCTGCTATTGCGAACCCTCATGAAAAAAAATTCAAAAGATTAAGGAATGAATTACAAAAGGAATTATTACTTCTATTAGAAAACGGGTCCCATTCAATGAAAAATAGTAAAACAACCTAACAATAACAAACTGAGAAAAATAATAAGAAAAATTCAGCTTTACAAGGATCAAATCTGGTGGAGTTTGGAAATTTTTAGTGAAACATTGGATATCTAGGGGAAAAATTGCCCCAAGTTTGAACGATTCCAAAAATATATATTTCTCATTAACCATAAAAATGAGTAATTATGTGCTTTAAAGAATATCTAACATGAATCGGAATTATGTTTAATTTTTTGGGTGGGGGAGATCAAAAACAAACACTTTTCTATAAAACTTGAGTTTTCAAAAAAATTGTTATTCACTTGTTTTCTCATTTTTATTACTTTTTATACATATCTAATTTAAAGCAATCTCGTTTATTTGTTTTTATCATAGAGGAAAAAAATTGAGGAACTATATGCATAACAAAAAGTGTTTATTGATTTAATTATTGGTTTTCTCACTTATAATAAAATAAAATTTAAAAATGTGTGGTGATTAGTTAGTGTTAGTCGATGATTATTCGTAGATCGTGAGATGCGGTCTGGTGTGACGTAGGTTTACAAAAACAGTTTCTTTATCGTCCCAACGTTTCGATTTTTATTGAGATCATCTTCAGAGCTCAAAGTGTTGAGAGTGCCCACACGACACACAAGAATGGCACAATTACGCAGAAAACAAATACTTTAAGCTCTGAAGATGATCTCAATAAAGATCGAAACGTTGGCGCGATAAAGAAATTTTTTTTCTTTTTAAAAAGTTTTTCTGAAACCTACATCACACCAGACCGCATGTCACTATTTGTGAATAAAATTTAAAAGTTGTTTACATAGGCCCACAAAAGAGAAATACAGATTTCGAACAGTTTTAGTAGAGAGGATATTGGATAAAATTAGAACTCGAATTTATTTTAAGTACGCTTCAAAGGCCCTAAGTACAACTTTTTAAAGTAAACAAACATTTTTGGAATCGTTTAGCCGGAGGCAATTTTTTTGCTTCGATGCCCTGAAACCATTTTTTTGGTCAATTTGTTTAAGTTAAATGGCCAGATTTTGGAAATGAGGCTCATTATTTTTATTATCGAGGGCGTATGAAAATTCTGTGCGCAAAAGGCAGTGAACAAAACCATTTCATACAAAACCAAGTAGTAAAATAATTTTATCAGGTTTTATTCTCTGACTTTTGCGCAAAGAATTTTCATACGCCCTCGACAATAAAAATAAAGAGCCTCATGTCCAAAATCTGGCCATCTAACTTAAACGAATTGACAAAAAAAAAAAAAAAAAAATGATTTCAGGGCTTATAATTTTTTTAGTTTTTTTATCTATTTAATCGTTTTCCCTTTTTATTTTTCTGTTTATTTATTTGCCTAATGATTTGCCTCCATAGTTTTGTACAAAATGGTTTTATTCTCTGACTTTTGCGCTAAGAATTTTCATACTCCTCATTTCCAAAATCTCGCCTTCTAACGTACACGAATTGACCAAAAAAAAAAAAAAAAAAAAAAAATGGTTTCAGGGCTTGTAATTTTTTAAATTTTGTTTCTATTTAATTGTTTTCCTTATTTATTTTTGTATTTATTTATTTACGTAATGATTTGCCTACTTAGTTTTCTAAGAAATAATTTCATTCACAAACTTACTCGTGAAATTAATTCTGTTTCTATCTATTGTGTTATTTATTCATTGAATTTATTACATGTACATATAGTATATAAATATATGAACAATTAGCTTCAATCCAGGCTAGGGCTTTGTTTTTATTGTAGCTAGGACTCATTTTGGTACGTACTTGGAAGTAAGGGTTTTTAAGAAGCAAAACCCTCTAGACTTCCTCCTAGTCCTCAGCTTTAACCAGGCAAGGCGAGAGGAAGGAGTTAAATTAATTCCCCTTATTGTCTTGATAACAAAATTTTAGTAAATTGACTCGGTCCGGCGGTGTCTCCTAAGGTATGGCCGGGTGGAGGATAGGGGGGACAAAACAAAAAAATCCCTAGTCTTATTTAATAAAATACTCCATAATTTTTATATATTATAACCTTGGATTGCACGCTCAACAAAAGCAGAAGACAATTGTCGAAAAAAAAAATTATATAAATTAGTTTAGATTTGTCTTTTTCCTCGGCCCAGAGGGCTTGTTAGTTCAACGCTCATATTCTTATGTTGAATCGGTTTAGGGTCACTTAAGGAACAGTTCCTCACTGAAGATGGCACATTGCCGAAACAGGTTTGAGTAATTCAACAAAAAAACGAGTGAAGACGGACCCAATAAGTGACCCTATGCCAGTTCAGCATAAGTCGACTCGCAGACCCATCATCATCTCAGAAGCTTTCTAATATTTTCTATCAACTACAATCCCAGAAACCAAAGAACTCAAAACTACAATGTACAAATATTAAAAATATAGGGTGTCCCAAAATTAACGCAAGATTTGAATTTGCCGGCATTTTTGAAACCAGGCCGGAACAATATTTACAAAATAATGAAATTTTGGCGGCCGCAGTTTGAAAATTTTATACAAAATATGGTCAAAATAGTGCTTTAACCTCGTCAACTGTGAAAAGTTTATTTGAAAAATTCAGGGAGACTGGATCAGTTGGAGACGCTAAACACACCGGTCGTCCAAAATCAAGCCGTTCAAATGTCAATATCGAAGGAATGCGTGAGAGTGTTGGTGAAAACCCAGGAACATCAATTCGGTGTCATGGACAAGAATTGATAGAAAAACTTAGTTGAAATATTGTTCCATAATGAAAACACGTTGTTGTATCGTATAATTATTCCGAAATCGTGAGATGCGGTCTGGTGTTATATAGGTTTCAGAAAAACATTTTCTTTATCGTGCCAACGTTTCGATCTTTTATTGAGATCATCTTCAGGGCTCAAAGTGTTTGTCTTCTGTGTAATTGTGCCATNAATATATATATTATCTATATTTAATTGGATTAATTATATTGGCGTAGCTGCGACTGAGTTTACATGTATCTGTTCTGTAATTGATGTTGATATAAACCATTCCTAAAAAATTACGTTTATGATTAGGGGCCTTCACACGTACGCTCAAGAGTCGACGATTGGGCGGGACACTCAAATCTACGCTCAAAAGCGTCAGTGTAAATGCGGTTCAGCGTGGAGGTTTTGATCGCACTCCAATTGAAGGTCGGGAGCGACAAAGTAATTCACAGTTTTACGTGAGGGTTGGAGTGTAATCAAAAGTAGGGTTAGTCGTCAACGCCGAGTTGTTCATTACGTTCTTATACTGTCGATCTGCTTCTGTTCGCTACTGTTCTCAAAAGGTTTCGTAATCTGGATCAAATTACTTGTTTTTATTTTTGTATGGCAGACAGCAGATGTTGGAGTAAGGAAGTTTTATCAAACTTCATTGAATTGTACAGGGAAATGCCATGCCTTGTGGAAAATAAAGTCGAAAGAATATTTGAACAAAAATTTAAAAAATGAAGGATACGATAAGCTTGTGGAATTCTGTAGGCCCATATTTCCCACTGCTTAACTTGTATTGAATCTGCGCTTATCTTTAAGTACTCTTCCTTTAGAACATCGTACAATGCCTTGCAGGTTTCTGGAATAATCACCGAGAGTAAGGAACATGAGATGCCTGTCGTGAACTTGAGGTATATATTAAAGGAAGTTTTGGTATAACTGTGTTTAATAGATGTGTCATAATTATGTCTGCAAGTATCGGGCCTAGGTTGCTACCCATGGCTATACCAAAGTTGTTTGTAAAAGTGATTGTCGTATGTAAAATATCCTTTAACACAGCAGTGTCGGATCATTGTTACGAACGTGTTCTTTGATAGAGATGTGTGTGGTGTTATGTTGGGCCATTTATCTTTAATAATGTTCAGTGTTGTGTCTATTGGTATGTTGGTGAACCATGATGAAACATATCGGGATATGAGAGAGTAGTGTGAGGGGATGTGGATATTATTAATTTTGTTAATGAAATGAAATGAATCATTTACATTATATGCGTTATCTGTGATGTTATTGAGTATGTTGGTTAAGTATTTTGTCATGTTATATGTGGGGGAGTTTACAAATGAAATTATGGGTCTTAGAGGGTGTTCTGGTTTAAGTGTTTTTACAGATCCATATAGTTTCGGGGGTGTTGTTTTGTAGGTGTATATGTCAATTTCTTTTCGTTTAAGTGTTTCCTGGAGAATTTTGTTTGTCTGTTTAATGAGAGAAGGAGTAGGGTCTGATTTGATTATGCTGTATGTGTTTATGCCTGTGATAATTTTGTTAATTTTTTCCCTGTACTCTTTTTTTGCTGATTGCTACTGTTTGTTTTGTCTTATCAGCAGAAAGAATGAGTATGACAGGATTATTTTTTGGGAAAATTTTTGGTTTTGGTATATGTTTGTTCAGATAGGTTGTGTTGATTTGTAGTGAGGTGTTGTAAGTGATTTGTTATTTTGTTAAATTATTTTGATCGTTTTGTCTTTTTCTACCTCTGTTTTTGTGGATTTTTGGATTGCATAGTCTTCGTAATTAATTTAAGGCCCTGAAGATGATCTCAATAAAGACCGAAACGTTGGCACGATAAAGAAAATGTTTTTCTGAAACCTACATCACACCTGCATATCACGATTTTGGAATAATTATCGATTAACGGTCACTAATAATCATCACACGTTGTATCGTATAACGCTCCATTTGTCCTAACCCTAAACTCTCACCTGTCAAATTGTTCTTTTTTCAGGGTTGCAGACAATTTACTGCAAAAGTGGCGGCAAATTCAAATCTGACGTCAATTTTGAGACACTTTTTATATTTACCCTGAAAAACGTCATTGTTGATCCACTGTCAAGCGTTCCGTAGGCGATCTCAGTCTGTCCAGCGAGGTCTTCCGCGTTTTCTATGGGCGTTATCATCCTCTCCACGGTCAAAAAGGCCGCGAGGTTCGCCGTGTACGAGCTAATTATGATCAGTGTGAAAAACCACCATATGCCTCCGACGATCCTTGTAGAGGTGGCCTAGTAAAAATATGAAAAATATTGAAAAAAATGTTTAAGAATTGGTATTGTTGTTAATCTACCTTGGGATTCAAGTCGGATCCTTGCTGCATGAGAGTGCCGATCGTGAACCAAAAAGAATTGGCTAGAGAGAACTGGTTTTCTATGAGATCGTTGTCTACATCGCACGGATGCGGGTTTTGCCATTCATAAGGAGAAAACCTAGCCACGATGAACATCGTGATTGAAACGAGTATGTACGCCGCGAGTACATACAGCCAGATATCGACTGCGAGTGGGTTCATGAATGAAAACAGCCTCGTTTCCTGGCTCGTCGGAACCTGGTGAATAACACAAAAACCCCTTTAAAATATTCAGACAAAAAAAGCCAGAAACATCCTCCGTTTTATGCTTTTAAAAGTTGCCAAGACATCGTGGGCAAATTCGAAAATTAATTGCTAAAAAGGGCCGCAGTGTTGTAATGCTACATCGGTTAACAAAGTTTTTACCATCCACTTTTCGACTTGTTCAATATTTAATTGCAGTAACAGGCCGTTTAAGTACGATGCAAAAGGGGGTTCATTTAAAGTCATAACCTTTTCCCATTTGGACAAGTAATTAGTGTCGAAAGTCGCTAAATTCGCCACTCTAAATGCAAAGGGCTAGACCCTTGATAACCGGAATCGGCTCTTATTTCAAAACATCTCTTACCACTGAAGACAAACGGTGCCGATCCGATTTCAACGAGGAGCATCAAATCCCTTTGAAAACTGAGACGTCGGCCGCCAATTAATTAACCCGATTAAGTTCACAATCCCTCCCACTTCTAATTGCATAATTAAACGTTCGATCACCCGGCTGACTTGTTGCTGTTTAGTCTCGATGTAGCAGAAATGAATTTTTTTTTCTTTCGAGCATCTCTGAGAGACAACCGACATAACAATAAAAAATCCTTTACAATTAGATAAAATCAAATAAATCCTTTGTTTTTATAAGCAGAGCAAAAATCGTACTCACATTTAATACTAAATTTTCTTAAGTAAAAGCTCAATTTTTAAATATATTTCAATTTTTGAAATCAAGTCTTACTGAAAAAAAATAGGGAAAATTATGAGTAAAAGATATTTTAGAGCCATTATATATAGTTGTCTATTGAAAAAATTACTTCTTTCAATTAATTAATCTTTTTGTGTAAGGTTTTTGGTTGAAATGAAAAAGTTACTGTCACGAGCGGGATTCGAAGCCACGACCTTCGGTTCAATACGACGGTGCTCTAACCACTTGAGCTATCGTGACACCAACTCCCCATCTCGAAAGGTTGTAAGTTGAGGGGAGTTGGTGTCCGATTGGGTCGAAGTCACAAAAAAAAAACTAACATGATTTTCCTTGTTAGATTGCAATTTTGGCGCAAACATACCGCCCACCAGAATAGTTTTAATATAACAAAGTGGCAACGATTTGGATTGTTAAAGGATTAGGAAGGATTAGGAAATGTCCTTGGGAACACTTACAGGGTGGCTTTGGAGTGGTCATCTCAGTGCTGCTATAAAGAGAAATTGCCACCTTGGTAGTTACCCTAAAATAGTTTTACCCTCGAATAATTTTCAGAAGGCGCAAATAAAGTAGCGACGGTCAGAAATGTCCTGGCGAAAAGTACTGGGTGGCTTAATAATGGCTAATTTGGCTTCGATAAAACATTTTAAAATTCAAGACTTTAGCGGAGACATACCGCCCACCAAATTGTTCTATTCTTGGATATTGATGAAGAGGCTATAATAAAGTGGCAACGGTTAAATGTCCTGGTGACACTTAAAGAGTGGCTTTGGATTGGCCATCTCCCTTCTTGTATAAAGAGAAATTGCCACCTTGGCGCAAACATACTGCTCAATAAATTAGTTTTATCCTCGGATGATTTTCAGGAGGCGCAAATAAAGTAGTGACCGTTAGAAATGTCCTGGCGAGAAGTACTGGGTGGCTTAATAATGGCTAATTTGGTTTCGATAAAACATTTTAAAATTCAAGATTTTAGCGGAGACATACCGCCCACCAAATGGTTTTATTCTTGGATATTGATCAGGAGGCTATAATAAAGTGGCAACGGTTAAATGTGCTGGTGACACTTACAGGGTGGCTTTGGAGTGGTCATCTCAGTGCTTGAATAAAGAGAAATTGACACCTTGGCGCAAACATTCAGCTCACTAATTTAGTTTTATCCTGGGATAATTTTTCAGGAGGCGCAAATAAAGTAGCGACGGTTAGAAATGTCCTGGCGAAAAGTACTTGGTGGCTTAATAGGCTTCGATAAAACATTTTCAAATTCAAGACTTTAGCGGAGACATACCGCCCATCAAATGATTTTGTTCTTGCATATTGATCAGAAGGCTATAATGAAGTGGCAAAAGTTAAACGTCCTGGTGACACGTACTGGATGGATTAGGAGTCAACTCAGTCCTTGCATAAAAATTGCTAGTTTTGCGCAAACATACCGCCCACCAAAATTGTTTTTCCTCGGATAATGGTCACGAGCTGATAGTAAAATCAGTTAAGAAATATCCTTGTAACATAGATGACTTAGGTCCATCTCAGTGCTGGCGACTATTAGCTTCGTTGAAATATTTTAAATTTATGCGAATTTGACGCATTATATCCGATGAAGGTAAAAACACTAAATCATGTTTTTATGAGGTTGTGTTTAATTACATTTACATTAAGTGTGTACTTTAAAATCACATTTTACCATATAATATTACCTTGCTTTATCATGAAAATATGAACCATATCATACTTGGCCTCATAAATTTAATATTTTTGCATTTCATAAAATTTTTAATAAGATTTTCTGACTCATAAAAATACCACAAGATATTTTTATTTTTCCCTTTGTCAATTAACTGTTTATCAAAGAGTAATTACTTAAATTTTAATGCCTAACTCGTTTTTGATGCATAAATCATAATCAATTCACTAGCTTTCGTGGTCCGCTTGACCAATTAATATCTTTCAATTAATTAAGGTTTTTAGTTGAGATAAAAAAGTCAGTGTTTGACGAGAATATATTTGAAAAATGGCAGAAAGGAGGTAAAATTCAAAAGGTGGAGTTGAGATGGGAAGTTAGTGTCCGAGTGGATTGAGGTCACGATATCTCAAGTGGTAGAGTAGCGGCGTATCTAGCCGAAGGTCGTGGGTTCGAATCACGCTCTTGACACTGACTTTTCTATCTCAACCAAAAACCTTAACTAATTGAAATAAATCATAATTTTTTTTATTTATCCAGATATGTCTCTAAGTCTCATTCCATAATAATTTATAATATCAGCAGGGGTTTTGTTTTTTTGCAATGAAAACAATATCATCCCCGTATAATAAAAAGGTTTTTGTTTATTACTATTATTTCATTTTGTTTAAAGCATTTTGATATATTTTGCTTTCCGCCCTTAGTTTATGTCCATTGGGCATATTAGTGTACTTTTTTATGGGTATGCATTGTAGGATGATAAAGAGAAATTTAGTGCTTGGTTCAAACTGTTAGTGAAAGGAAGAAATAATGCTAATTGTGAGATCAATCTTCGGAGGACTGATACGGAATCCATCTCCGCCTCGGCGTACATCAAGCAGTCGAAGCCGTGCCCATTAAAACGCGTTTCCACCCCTTGGGCCGGGGTCCTCGACTAACTTAGGGGGTGTGATAAGGTGAGAGATTCTCCCGGGTATTAGGAGGAGAAGTTTATTGGCCCCTTCGATCCAGATATGCAATGATCCCGGAGTTTGCGAAAGTCGTGATGACTTTTTGATGCCCACCACTATAAATTCCGCACAACTGATGCACATTCTTGGCCGACTCGTGGCCATTCCTTGCCTCACGGTTTCATAAGACGCGTACATTCCTTAAACGGTTCGAGAGGATTATTCATATTTTCATGGTATTGTATACTCAATTTTTAAAATTTTTGGTCGTATCAAAAGCATAATCGCCCAGGGGTTTTATTTAATGACCCGATTCTCAAAAATTTTCTTACCTAAAAACTTCACCTCGGTTTTATAAACGTTAAAAGGTTTAAAAGGAAAAATGGACTTACTGCTTTTAATAAAAAACCACTAAGAGACCAGAATCTCCTCCTTCCTTAATTCTATAAAATTACCTCGACAAACATAACGACCCCGATGAACCCTACTCATTCTTTTCTTCTCTCAGAACACCACATGAATTAAAAAAAAAAGATGTTTTGTATAATTTCACACGTAAGTTATATACAGGGTGCCCTTTTTAAATGGCCCGGCTGAATATGTCTTGCACCAATGACGCTATAAAAAAACAAAAACAAAAACCTGTTTAATTCCACTAGTTTTCGTGGTCCGTTTGACCAATTAATATCTTTCAATTAATTAAGGTTTTTAGATGAAATAAAAAAAGTCAGTGCCCCAAGCGGGATTCGAACCCACGATCTTCGGCTAGATACGTCGCTACTCTACCACTTGAGCTATAAACACTTTTCTATAAAACTTGTGTTTTGAAAAAAATTGTTGTTCACTTGTTTTCTCATTTTTATTACTTTTTTATACATATCTAATTTAAAGCGATCTCGTTTATTTGTTTTTATCATAGAGGAAAAAATTGATGAACTACATGCATAACAAAGGAAAAGAAGTGTTTATAGATTTAATTATTGGTTTTCTCACTTATAATAAAATAAAATTTAAAAATGTGTGGTGATTAGTGACAGTTAGTCGATGATTATTAGAGCAATGGTAATTTGGAAAATTATTTCTCCAAAGGCCAAGCCACATGGACACAGAAATCGCTTGACGATTTTTTGAAGAACGTTAATAATAATTCATTAGTTTTTGTGGTCTGCTTGACCAATTAATATCTTTTAATTAATTAAGGTTTTTAGTTGAGATAAAAAAGTCAGTGTCACGAGCGGGATTCGAACCCACGACCTTCGGCTAGATACGCCGCTGCTCTACCACTTGAGCTATCGTGACCTCGATCCACTCGGACACTAATTTCCCATCTCAACCCGCCTTTTGAATTTTTCCTCCTTTTTTCCATTTTTCAAATGTCGTGTAATGTATTTGATTCTCAAACGCGTTTAATATGTCTCAAATTTTATATTTTTTGTAGAAAAATTATACAGCGTACCTCAGACCCAGTTCAAGTAAAAAACTTCAAATACGACCTCATACATCCGGACACTTCATTTTAAACGACTTTTACGCCCAAAACAATGGTACAATCGAATTTTAAATTGATCCAAAAATGACAAAGTTATGGTTACAAGTTTGAAAAAAAAGATCATTGGTTGGGGCTATCAGGAAATAGATATTTTGCATTGTATAAATTCACTTTTTTCCACATGCTACATGAATTTGTTAAATGTAAACGTTTCTAATAAAGATCGAAACGTTGGCACGATAAAGAAAATGTTTTTCTGAAACCTACATCACACCAGACCGCATCTCACGATTTCTGAATAATTATCGATTAACAGTCACTAATCACCACACATATACATATAATGTTTATACTTAATTTATACATATGTACATATGAGTTATTTAAATTTTGTTATCTGTCAAAAAGGTGAATCGCACGCAAAGTAGTTTCAAATTGTTCACATAATTTAAAATCATTACCATGAATCAAAAGTGACAGCGGGGTTTTTTATAATCAGTTTTCCCCGCTAAACGCAGTGACTGGCTAAACAATACAAAATGATTAAAATATTAAGGTTGTAGAAGGTTATAAAGCCCAATGTCTTTTGCACTTCTAACGCAAATGTAAAAAGAGTCAGGTTACAATATGTACATATGTAAATATTTAGTAAAATATACTAGTTTTTCTTCTCTTCTGAGGTTGAACTTGGCCTCAGGTACACTGCATTATTTCTCTCAAAAAAAGGTAAAAATTGGAAACTAGACTAAAAATTAGTTAAAAGGTATTTTTTGTTTTTTTGATAGCGTCATTGGTTCAAGATAAATTCAGCCAAGCCATGTAAAGAGGACACCCTTTATATAAAAAAGCGTTCCACTGGACAAATATTATTAATTTAATATCAGTCGCATTTAGCTCTTGTCGACTTTGTTGGTAATGTTCTCGAGAAGATTTGCCGTCTTATGATTACTGGAAACTCCGAGGTGATAACGGACGTCTGAGAAGTTTCTCGGTTTCGTTATCGCCGTCTGGGATCGGTCCCGTGGAAACTTTGCCCGTCCCGGTTTTCTCTTCTGGAAAGGAATATTACCTTGAAGAGTATGCTGATCCCGAGGTTCATGAACGGCTTCGTGAAGTCGATCACGCTTTCCCGGGCGTAGTTGATCGTCATGGAACCGACGGCTAAGTCCGCCTTCTGGGAACAGAAAAACAATGAAATTTGTACAAATAGCCGGAGAGAAAAATATACATCATATTCAAAAAGAAGAAAAAACACTTGATTTTCGTTCATTCCTGGTTGCTAAACATTTATTTATACTTGGCACAGCTTTTATCATGCAAAATTTGTTACACATAAATTAAGCCAGTTTTATACGCACTGAGTAGGAAAAAAATTAGCCACCATTTACAGTTTTCAACATTTCTTAGATATTATTCGACCTTACGAAAACATTTGGTCCATTTTAAAGGATGAGAAGTAAACAAAATACAGATAAAATTTCCCACTTGTGGTTATAATTGGATTTTGTAAATAAATCTTTGAATAGACGATTTCTTCTTAGTTGGTTTTTCGGTGAAGTTTTTTTCTAAAGTTCCGGTAGCTTTTTCTTTTTACAACTGTATTTATTTTTGTACTAAAAATGGCAAAAAGAGGGAAAATTCGAAAGGTTATAGGTTGAGATAGGGATTTGGTGTTCGAGTGGATCGAGGTGTGCTCAAGTGGGAGAGCAGCGTATTTAGCTAAAACTGGTCCTGGGTTCGAATCCCGGTTGTGTCACTAGCTTTTTCATTTCAACCAAAACCTTACAAAAAAAATTAATTAATTGAAAGTTCACTGTATGTTCGCAAAAATCCTAATTCCTCTTTCCAAAATATAGGAAAGGTTTTAGTTAAAAAAAAAAAAAAAATTAGAGGTGAGGTTCCGGACTTACAATTTTAAGCTGTATCGGTCTCAGCTTGTCCAGGGACTTCGGGACTATGATTATGACAGACAGTCGCTCATTATATCGGAAAATTCGCAATCGAGGTAAATTAGATCCTATTTTTGTGGCTGAGCATGACAAAACTAGCAACATTCTAAAAAATAACGACCTGACACCTATACAGGGAGCTGGTAATATCGGGAAAGTAACACGTAATTTGGCTGAAACAAATTTACGCCGGTGGTAACAAATGAGAAAAAGTATCATGGCTGATAAAGTTGCAGTGTTTTTAGGTGGAAATTCTGCCGAAAGAGAGGTGTCTGCAATCTGGACATGCTGTAATTAATGGTTTCCATGCCAGGGCATAGGAGAATTACCTAGAAGTACAGGGTACCTAACGAGAAAGCAGACAGACTGGCCAGAGGAGGATCTGCAAGATGATACATAGGCCTCGAACCTATTCTTGGGATAACAAAAACAAATATAAAATCCTCCATCGCAGAATGGATCCAAGCAAAACAAAAGGAGAAGTGGATACACTCTAGACATAGTAAACTTATGATGAAACAACCCTCACCGAGACTGGCAAAAGCACTGCAGCAATTGGAGAGGGCCAAACTCAGAGGAGTGGTAGGACTACTAACCGGTCACTGGCATCTGAGAAAACATCTACACAACATGGGTATATACAGCGATGATCCCATGTGAAGGTTATGTAATAAGGAGGAGGAAACAGCCATATCATCTTCGAATGCGAAGCAACAGCTCAATGGAGGTTTAACCTAACGTACGGAAAAAACTTAGGGAATCAAAATGCAACAGCGACAGTCAATGACCTGATACTTCTAAGGAGAAGGATTGAGTCTATTTCACTAAACTAGGAACTAGGAAGGTACAATAACCCAGAAGGCTGCAGTGCCGGGGGAGTGCAAACCCCGCTCCCTAGTATCGTTTTTCACCATACCATACCATACTACAAGTGAAATTGATGACATGTACAAATTGAAGGGACAAAATGTAAAACTAAAGGTGGCCATTCACGTTCGCACCTAGCACGGAGCGACGCCGTTCCAAAAACCACGTCAATGGCAAAACTGAACTGGCATTCCCGGCTGTGCAGAATATTCGCCCGGTCCAAACTCCATCGCGCCACTCCAAATATCTACGGCCCGACGACGGCATGGCGCGTTCGTGAATGGGAAAACCCTCGTTTTTTTGGCGCAGTCTCCGTCTTTCTGTCACTGAGCAAACATCTCCGTCGTACATTCTCAAAAAGTCAAAAACGTTTATTCTTTATTGGTAATGACATCCAATCGAGATTTTATTGTTGACGATAGAAATAAAAGAAATTCGATCTTCAACCAGTTGGTCGACGTTTTCAAAACAAAGGATACAAATGCAACGAGAGATGCGGTATTGATAACCCCTAACAATGATCAGAAATCATAGTAGAGAACTTAAGTTCTTTGTAGTTCATCCCTGTAGCGAGAAATCGTAATGTGGTTGCCAACCTTTCATGTAGTGATGATTTCTCTCATGGCTGTCTTTTGTTTTTTAATCAAGGGGTAACAAGCTGGAGTAAATATAATTTTTTTTGTAAGGTTTTGCTTGAAATGAAAAAATAATGTCACGAGGGGATTCGAATCCACGACATTTGGCTAAATACGCCGCTGTGCTAACCACTTGAGCTATCGTGACTTCGGTAGTTCGATCCACTCGGACACCAACTCCCCATCTCAAACTACAACCTTTCGAATTTTCTCTCTTTTTGCCATTTTTTTGGTGTCGGGGAGGATCGAAGTCACGATAGCTCAAGTGGTTGAGCAGCGGCGTATTTAGCCGGAGCCCATGGATTCCGATCCCGCTCGTGGCACTAGCTTTTTCATTTCAAACAAAACCTTACAAAAAAGATTAAATAATTGAAATAAGTAATTTGGTCAATAGAACACTAAATATAATGAATAAATAAGACGTTTCATTCATCCTTAAATAGTTCCTCCAATCAGCGGGTTCAAGGGAAAGATCTTTCATCAAATTAATGTGGGTATTACGGCTTCTGTTCAGGAGCCACTTCTTACACCATTTCCTTTTCGATTTTTTGCTTTTAATATGTAAATAAACAGAAGAGTAGCACAAGAGATCGTCATGCATTTTGAGAAGGTAATTCACTGGTTGACGTTCGGACGATTGGCTCTGGAGCGGTCGTGAACGCCCCCTCAAATTTCAGGCTCTCCAAATGGAGCTGTACGTCTTGGCGCGGTTCCATTTGGAGTGATCGTGAATGGCCACCTTAAGTGGCAGTCAAGTTTGAAGAATCACCAAGTGGTGACACCTCTACTAGGGTCTACGTGTGACCGGCTGCAAAACAGGTCGTAAGGCCACTGCCACTTCACAACACTTGGTGGATTATTCAAGATAGTTCGTGATTAACGTATAAAACTAAATTATTGGGATGTAATGCAAGGGAGTTGTAGAATTTTATGTATCGGGATTTTATGACGACTTTGACAAAAGGAATTTTAAAGTAAAACTGCTTTTAGAAAAATATTTCCCATCCATAAAAAAAACACATCATAATGCAGAGGTAAATAATCGGGCAAAAATCCTTGAAATGGTAATGCACATTTTTCAAGATTTTACATCCTCTTTATGCTATTTTACAAAACATATTTCTAATAACCTTCTACGACTAATTTACGCTAAGTCTTACATGCATCCAAATATTTTTTATACATTTAGTTAAATTCATTCATTTATTGTTGAAAATATCATTTTAATTTAAGCGGAGGAGAGAGAGCGAGAAGAAGATTGGAAGGGTGAATTATAGTCGGAGAGAATGAGTAAGGAATAAATAAAATTACAACTGCGACAATCTGGGCAAACAAATTAAGAAAGAGGAAAGAATAAAAACGTGAACATAAAAATTGAAACACAAAGGAGGGAGGCTTAGAATTGTTATTACTATTTAAGTATTATTAAATAAATGAAAATGTAAGTTTAATTGAATAAATAAAATACAATTAATTAAGGTTTTTAGTTCAGATAAAAAAGTCAATGGCACGAGCGGGATTCGAACCCACGACCTTCGGCTAGATACGCTGCTGCTCTACCACTTGAGCTACCACCTCGATCCGCTCGGACACTAACTTCCCATCTCAACCCCACCTTTTGAATTTTTCCTCCTTTTTGCCTAAATTGTTATATATTATTTGGTCAAGCGGACCACGAAATTAGTGGATTTAATGAATAAATAAATAATAAAAGTGAGTGAGTGGGTGAAAGAGGGAAAAAAATAGAGAAAATAAAATATTTGAAGGGTGAGTGTTAAAAAAAGAGAAAAAAGAAAGAAAGAGAGAGAGAGAGAGTGAGAGAGAAGAATATTGGGAGGGTGAATTATAGTTGGAGATAGTGAGTAAGGGATAAATAAAAATACAACTACGACTAGCTGGACAACAAATAAAGAAAGAGGAAATAATACAAATGTGAACATAAAAAATTGAAACACAAAGGGGGAGGCTTAGAAGTCTTATTATTATCTAAGTACTATTAAATAAATGATAATGTAAGTGGTTAATTTAATAAAAAAAGTGAATGTGAGTGAGTGGTTGGAAGAGAGAAAGAAAGATAGTGAAGAGAAAATATTTGAATGGTGAGTGATAATTGAGTGTTAAAGAAAGAGAAAGAAAGAGAGAGAGAGTGAGAGAGAGAAAGAGAGAGAGAGTTTGATTGAATAATTTAATAAATAAAAAGCGAGTTGCCAATAAAATAAATGGATAAAAGTGTGTGCGAGTGTGTGACTGAGTGAATGAGAACGAGATTGATTGACCGACGCAAAGTTAGGTCTCATGGGCCATTTTGTCCACTTAACGCGAGTTACGTTGTACATTATACATACAATTTACTCAAACTCTTTTGGCCTTTACAATTTATTTTACAAATAGAATACAAGAATAAAGTTTTACTTATTTTTTTATTAAATATTTCGTTACAAAAGTTTTTTGATTTATAAATTGATAATATATCATGTGTTTATTTAAGTAAAATCAATGAATAACAATCAAAAGAAAAATAAAAAATAAACAAAACTTTAGCAAGAATTTTTGATAGTTACTCATGACTTTAAATTACTTAATTAATTTTTAATTTTCGTTATTATTATAGTTATTTAGACCTAACAAAAAAACATAATATGTACATAATATTAATTACTTTATGTTTCCATGATTTTTATGGTATATTACTTATTTTCCATCTGTTGTAATGATTGAAAAAC